AAATCACACGGCGGCGGGACATGCTTTTACATCAATGAGAGGTGGTGTACAGATGTAACAGTGTTAAAGAAGATGTGCTGTTCAGATATAGAAGTGCTCTTCATTAACTGTAAGCCTTTCTATTTGCCGTGGGAGTTTTGCTCGTTCATTCTTGTGAGTGTTTACATTCCTCCGCATATCTTATACCGACCTACAGGCAGCAACTGAAATCAGCTAAACCTGTTTTAAGGGCTGTTAAAAGATGAACTAATGAAGCAGAGCGGGATTTACAAGCCTGTTTCCACCTCACTGATTGGAGTGTTTTTGAAGCTGTTGCCACCGATCTGGACGAGCTCACAGAGACTGTAACTTCATATATCAGTTTCTGTGAAGACATGTGCATTCCCACCAGGACTCATTTAACTTACAACAATGACAAACCATGGTTCACTGCAAAACTCAGACAGCTCTGTCAGGCTAAAGAAGATGCTTCCAGGAAGGGGGACAATGTCTTGTATAAACAGGCTAAATACACACTGGAAAAGAAGATCAGAGTGGCAAAGAGGAATTATTCGGAAAAAATAAGGACTCAGTTCACTTCCAGCGACGCGGCATCAGTGTGGAAAAGTCTAAAAGAAATCACCAATTACAAGACACCATCCCCCAGCACTGTGGAGAATCAACAACTGGCAGACGATCTAAACGAGTTCTACTGCAGGTTTGAAAAAACACCCCACACCCGCCCTGAACACCTCTCCACACAACCATTCACACCTCCAGCAACCCCCCTCTCCCCCACACCTGCAATTCAGATCAGTGAAGACGAGGTGCGCCAGGTCTTCCGGAAGCAGAAAAGGAAAAAAGCACCAGGCCCAGACTGTGTTACACCAGATTTCTTCATTACTGAGTTCAGTATCAAACAGTCCTGGAGTGTCGATCACAGTAATGTGTCTGCTGTTGATTTCAGCTGTCTCTCTGTGGCACTCTATAGTAACAGATATTTGAGAAATGTCTGATATAAATGCTTCTCTTCCTAAGATGGTGTTTCCAGTTGAACTCTTCCCAGCTCCAGTTTTTCCCAGCAGCACAATCCTCAGTTCATCTTCTCTTTTTAAAGTCTGATTTAAATGCTCCTCTTCCTAAGATGGTGTTTCCAGTTGAACTCTTCCCAGCTCCAGTTTTTCCCAGCAGCACAATCCTCAGTTCAACTTCTCTTTTTCTTGATTCTAAAGATAAATCAAATAAAAATGAAAAACATTATATTGAATTTCAATTAAATGTAGTCAATTATCAAGGTCATCAGAGAATATTGTGTATTATTTATACTAAAGCATCATGTGCTAATTATATTGTTTGCATATAACGTTATTTTTTTCTCATAAATCTGTGTACATTTTTGCAATCATGAAAAGTGAGTTTAATGCATGCAGATCTTCGGCTCATTACCTCGTGACTGGATCCACGTCTCTAATGAATAGATTCTCCTCCTCATTTCTTCAAATTTCTGCAGTTTTTCCATCTGTGCCTCCATCAATGTCTCTGTGGAGAAACAAACACCACTGTTTTCCTCAACCATCTGCTCCAGTTTCTCCATCAACACAGACACTTGTGTGTTCAGGTCAAAGTAAGGACAGGGCAGAGCGAGACTAGAGGATAGCAGCGATGGCCTGACAGGAACACAAAGCATAAGAGCCTGCACACACGTGGTCACACAGGCACTGCACAGGTCCAGCTACTGTAAGCATCCAGGGAAGCTCAGCCTGCAGGACAGGACAAGACAAGAGACACAGCAAAAACATGACAAAACAGATGGCAGAACTAATATAAAGCAAAACTATTCCTAGAGAAATAATGAATAAAGTAAAAGCTAACAAATAGAGAACAGAAGCTAGTTGACTAATAAAAAGAAAAGGACTAATTCTAGGACTAAACTAGAAGAACAAGAGAAAGTAAATGCTAAGGAAAATTACTAAAATAAGAAAAGGAAAAACTAAACACAAATGAAAACCAAGAACTTAATAAGTTAACTGAAAATACAATGGGGAAAAAAAAAACGAAATAGCTTAGACACTCTAGAACAGATAGCTAAACAAGACAAGACTAGGATTAACAAATAAGAACAAGTAATTTCTAATAAAGAACAGATAAGCAGTGACAAGAGAAGCACTAGATAGAACTCTGTATAAGGTTACTACACAGGAGCCACACACAAGGATAAAGGTTAACAAACTGGCAAAACATGAGGGACAGAGAGCACAATATGAAGGCAGCAAACCACATAAGAGACAGGTGCTAACACTCAGACAAACGCGGACTAAACAAGAGGGGGCGTGGTAACGAGTAACAGGGTGGCAGGAGGAGAGGAGCACATGGCTAACACAAACAAAGACAGAGCCATGTGCTCAAACACAACACAAACAAGGAAACACTGAAGAAAGACAGGACAGACAAGACTGTCAGAGAAGATCCTTGACAGAAATTGCTATAATGACAGTTTATACATAGGACTCTTCTGAACACAAACCTGCTCTTTTCATCATAGATCTTCTCAGTTTCTCTATTTCAGCTCTGTGTTTGTTTATCTCCAGTTCTACTCGAGCCTGAAGGCACATGAAGGTTGTGTAGAAACTTCCATCGTTCAGTTTTACCATGTTCTCCACATTGTGCAGTAGAGCTGGAAACTGTGAGCTGTTCTCCAGAACAGACTGACTACCTCCAAATACATGAATACATGTCTCAGTAGCTAAAGAAGGAATTATATTAATCCGGCTAATTATGTTCTTGTCTTGGATTCTGACGACCATGATGTGTTTGTTGATTCTTGAGCTGAAGATCCTCTGGATCTCCTCCATTTCTGCTTTGTCTTCATTATTAAGTGGAGCATCAGGAATGATGAGGATGAACACATGAACTCCAGGATGACAGAGAGACACACAGCGGTGAGTCTGACGCATCACGTCCTCCTCTGAGAGCTGAGTGTTGAACAGAGCTGGAAGCTCCAGCAGACTGATCAGACGTCCATCAAGCTCCACGTCTCTCCTCACACACTCTGAGCTCAGCTCTGATCTTCTCTCGCTCTGCTTCAGGATCAGCTTTGATATGAAGGATTTTAATCCTCTGTTACTCCCACACACAACCAGATTCAGCTTCACACCCTCTGGAATTGAAGAAATAAACTAGTTTAACAATGTAGTTTGAACTTTAAAAGTTCTATCAATGCTGCATTCCTATGTCGGAATTATTGCAATCTGGCTACAAAAAGCATTTACAAGCTGCGATACTTGCCAAAGTTCTGACCATGCAGGGTGCCTAAAATTTCTAAGGGCCCTTTTCCTTTTTTGTTATTTTGAAACTAAATATGGAAATAAAAAAGTAATCTTGCCTAAGATGTTAAAGAAATGTTAAAGAGAAATCTTTAACTTTTGGGAGTCAGATGACCTTTTACTTAGCTATTAACAGGAACAGATATATTGCATGCTACTGTAACATAATTTCTATTGTTTTGATTCATTTTGAATCTCAGTGCAATGCAATAGTATTGGTGGTATATACAGTAGCAAGCCGTATACCGTATTGACATATAGCCTATCAAAGTGATGGAAATCATCAAGTACCGCTTAAGTATTAGGTATGATTTTTGGGACTAATCAAATCAGTTACCTGACATGAATCCCACTGACCTTATATTTTACTAACTGAAGACTAAAGGTAAAAAGATGAATGCAGGAGCTAAAAATGGCAGTAAAGTTGCTAGAGAGAGATTACAGACTTTAACCAGTCATTAACTGCAAAAGATTCAACAATTTTACTCACCAAAAAAAAGTTTTATATATTTATATTATATAATGATTTTACCACCAAGCTCCAAAGTAAACACATACACACACACACACACACACACACACAAAGAACCCAAAAAGCATACTTTGTTTTTCTGTCAATGTCTTAATACTCTATTCAAAAATATCTACATTTTGTTAGAAGTGTTTTAGCCAAAACTAGTTCAAGTCACACAGTAGTGCTCCTCGTTTTTCTCCATGTCATTCCCTGTGTCTACAACACTGTAACTATATGAGGACAAAACAGTAGTTCATGATCATATTCTTTGAGGTATTATCCTGAGAAAAGACTGTAACAAACCTCCTCCATCACTAGCTGTTTTTGTGCTCTTGTTGAGATCTGAACCCTTCTTCTCTTTCTCGTCTCCTCTGACTGAAGCTCCAGAGCTGCTCAGATCTTTGTCCACTTGTGTTTCTTCACCTTCATCCTCACACGTGTCACAGATGAGAAATTCTATACATTCTTTCTTGAGCATCTCTTCTGTCTTTCCAAACAACTCAGAGCCCCATCCTGGGTTTACTGTATTAAACTTCAGATGTCCTCCTCCACACTCCTTTATTAAATCATGAATAGTGTTATTCCTAGAAGCGAATATTGATCCGCGTGGCTCATCATCAGTAGTCAGCACTATAGTGTGTTTCATGGCCTGGTAACTGAAGAGGTTCAGCACATATTTCACTCTGTGTTTGTCGTTCTCACTGAAGTTCTTATTCTGCAGTACGAGTACAAACACATGAGGTCCTGGAGCAGACAGAGACACACACTCTCTCACTCCCTGTGTGATCTGATGCTGTGAGAGATTTGGCTGGAGCAGGTGAGTGTTAATGACTGAGATGTATCGCTCCTCCACCTCTCCATTGATTCTCACACTGTGCTGCTGTGAATAAGATGCAGCTTTACTGTAAGATGCTGTTGTACCCAGTATAGTGTTTCCCACCCGTCTGTTTTCTGATCCATTCTTTCCTATCAGCACAATCCTCAGATCACTCACTGAAAAAGAGCACAAACACAAACAAAATGCAATAAAACAGCGCTGCACAATCATCACTGAAGAATCTCATATTAAAAATCCTACAGAATTAGCAGATTTTACCCTAGACACAAGTAGTAATGTTAAAATAGCAAGTAACCCTTTAAAAAGCGGCTTTAGGAACATCTATGAAATATGCACGTTTAATACTCAAAAGTTATCATAAATTGTATTGACTTACTATTGGGATGATCATTACTTGAACACTTTTGTAATGAACACAAAAAATAAAAGAACTGCGGCTGCATAGAGTCCTGTGAGCACACACTTATGAAACGATGCCTAATATTTTCTCACACAGCATAAGTTGGTCTATAAAAATAGAGTTGATTTTATAATTTAGGTCTTTCTCATCAATCAATTTGAATAGCCACTGATCTACAGCGTGTTATCAATTAAACCGTTTCAGTAAAGTCGCACATATGTGAGTAGTTCACATTCACGTTGTTTAGTTCACAATCTAAATTAAAATTAAATCTCAACATATTGTGACTAATCTTTTATTTTGTTTTTTTGTTAGTTTTTTCTATAAACTGTTACAACACAATACAACATATAAATGTTTGACAAATGTTAACATCACTGCCAGTGATTTAATTTACTTACTGTTAGGACGAACAAATTGTGGACTATGTCGACCTGCTGCAAGAGAGAAGAAAAATCACACACATACAT